GTCGAGGCCGAGGCGCAGGACGGAGCCGGCGGCGGCGGCGATCTGGAAGAGCTGGGGGACGGGGAGGTCGAGGGCGGAGCTGTAGGAGTTGAATTTGGCAGCGTCGCGCGAGGGTTGGAATGCTGCGAGGTTAGGGTTAGGGTTTTGGTTGTTGAGGCAATGGAATGATTTGCACTTGTAGTGGTCCCAGATGACGGCGGAGTCCGGGAGGGAGGAGGGGAAGGGGTGTGTGGGGAGGGTTGGGATCTTGGGGGGCGTCCGGGAGAAGCAGCGGCGGCGGGGGAGGGGGTGGCAGCCGCGGAGGATTAGGGATTCGGCGATGTGGGTGTCGGAGGGGCAGAGGGAGAAGGGTGTGTAGGTCATGTAGGTGTGGAGGAGGTCTGGGTGGTTGTGGCAGGCCGAGGGTATTGGGGCCAGCTGCGAGTAGAGGAGTAGATCTGGTGGGATGGTTGATTTTTGGTCTGGCTTGTGGAGGCGCGTGAGGTGGTTGATGGTGGCGCGTATGGTGTGGAGCTGGCGGATGAGTTGGTCCGGGACTGGAGGGGGCGCCTTGGGGGACTTGGGGGATTGCAGGGTGGATGAGAGGTGGTAGAGTGAGAGGATGTTTGTGGCCACCATGGCCATTAGGAGGAGCAGGTTCAGTGCCATGGTGCTGAAGGTGAAACCCATTTCCCTAGGTTGACTATTTCCACTTCCTCACCTGGGAGTTAGTGAAGTGAAGAGTGAAGAGTGAAGAGTGAAGAGTGAAGAGTGAAGAGTGAAGAGTGTGGGATGAACTATACTAACACTGTCGATTGGGATCTGTAGCATGTGGGACCAGGGAATCTAGATTTACTTACTGTGTTTATGTAAATCTACAATCTATTAGTATTATCTATGTCTGCTCAAGACAAATTTTGGTTTAGCTTTTACTAGCTTCTAGTTCTAGTTCTAGTTCTAGTTCTAGGTCACTGCTTCTTTTTCTTTTACTACAATTAAAGACCATTTACTAGAAAAATCTGAATCAGAAATAGACTACTGGATTGGATTGCGATTTTTGTTTGTAGAATGGTTAGTCTTGTTGACACTGCATGTTTACGATCGATGAGAAATAGACTGCTACAAAGATTAACCTTTGTTTGACTTCATACTTTTAGAGCGCTAAGTTGTACACTTAAAACTAACAATACTTACTGTTGTATCTTTTGATATTTTAGACATAGATTATGGATGTTAAACACAGATCTAAAATGCACTAAGAGAAGAAGGGATTTAGAAAAAAATATATTAACTCTTTCTTTTATATATTTATTTGAAAGGGAATTAGGAAAGAGAGTGATACAAATTTGGGCATGGGCAAAGTGTAGGCCAAAATAATTGTGAGAAATGATTAGTTTCTTAATTAACCATTTTAATATATTTTAATTAAATATTCAATAGTTATCTAGCGTATTTCATCAAATTATTAAAATAAAATTATATTTAAAGTTTTAAGTAAAATTATAATAATAAAAAATGAGTTTTAAAAAAACCAATGAATGAGTGAGTGTATGAATATTCAAATACTCATTAATGATATTATTAATATATACTATCCTTCTTTCAATACATAATAATATATGTGTTAAATCTCACTTTCTAGTTTTCATTACATGTTTCATTAACTTCATTATATAATTTATTAAATAAAATAAAAATAAAAACTAAAATAATTTATCTTAAATGCTCTGAAAAAAATATCCCAAAATTTTTTCCCTTTATATTATAAAAGACGTGAAACACCTAAAATCGTGACAGTGATAACTTTTGTGTGTGGCTGTACTCATTTATACCTAACTAACACGAGTTGCACTGCTGTTGTTTTTGTTAATATTTTTTGGTAAATTAATTTGAATTTTATATTAATTTGTTCAAAAAAGCCTAGGTAAATGGGGATGTGAACAGTGATGTAGTTAGTTTCCTTCTATTTCTTTGGTTTCTATTTCTTATTTTCTTCTTTAGAATTGTCCATTTTCAAATCGAGAAACAAAAAAAGAAAAACGAAAGAGAAACTTTTTCCAACAGTAAATGAAAGAGCTATAACTTTTTTTATGAAAATATTTTTATCTTTCTTCATTATATTAACTACTTATCACACGCTTCTTTTCTTATTATATATATTTTGTTATACTCTATAAAAGTTATTACAGTATATAAATAGAAATTCTCCAAATCAAAAATAAGAAAAGAGCGGCAGAGCATCGAGATTCACGTGAATTCGTCAAGCTAGTTATTTATTGTTTCAAGCATATTTTATTATTTTTGTATATATCTTTATTGAATAAAGAATTCATATACTAATAGTATAAAAAACTTTTAGGATATCATCTAATCATAAACAATTGTATTATGTTAAAAACCATACTAAATATAATTTTTAGTTAATTAAAAATATTAAATGTTTTATGCTAATTAAACTCGTCTTTATTTCGTTAATAAAACAAGGAAACGTTACAAAAAAAAAAAAAAAACTCATCTTTATTTGGACCTCATTGAAGAATCTCCAAGATAAACTAAAGTGATATCTATATCGAACGGTAGATTGTATTAACTGTCAAATGAAAGCCATTAATTTTGTTTAATTACAAAAGCTACCAAATTTAATTAGTCTGATTGGAGAGGGGGAGATTGGTGTCACGTAATTGATGGAGAATTAGAAGGAGCCTCACAAGTAGCGGAAGCATTAAATCTTGGGCTAACGTGGGAGACGTAAATATGGCCATAATTATTATCACTTTCCATTTATCATTTTGTTCAAATAGGAAAGTGTGAACCACAATAGCATAGATATCATACAAATGATATGTTGCCTTACTTGTCACGTTTTGGGATCATTGGAGAGTTCAGAATTGGAGTATAACGCACTCTACTTGCGTCAACTTTCAATAAATCTTTATCCTCTCCCCCATATCCATTATAGATTTATAAGGGTAACTTTTGACGGAAAAGAGAAAAAGGAATCTTCATAAATGAATACTTCCTTTTATGTCACGGGTTATTTAGTTGTGGCGCTATCATAAAATTGTCACCAAACATTTTAATATTATAAGTGTTGTTAATATTCTTTATCAATGAAAATTAAATATTTTTCTTAGTAAGTTACATATCGAAAGCTAGCTACAATTATTGAGATGAGTATTTTATTTTAATCAAAAAATAATACTGAGCACATAACATATTACATTATTACACTTAAGTTCTATATTTTAAAACGCAATAGTACACTCTTTGATTGGCCAAACAAACTCATACATAATCATTATCCCATTCCAGTGCCACAAGCAAGGAGTACCTTAGTATCTGAAATTAGATAGTTACAGCTGAAAGCCAATTCTAAAGCCAAATCTACCACTCAAATGGCAAAAACCCAAATACCCAAGAATAGACACATTGTTCAGGACTGAACCATAGCAACAGAAAATAAATAAATAAATAAAATTTAACGCTCTTATGCATTTACGCTCTAGCCTCGATGCACGATAAAAACCCAACGCTCTTATGCTCAAAGCAAATATTTTAACATGATAGAAAATAGAACCTCCAGATGGGTTAACAAACTAAAAATCAAATCAGATTTTAAAATTTAGCTACAACATAAAATGATTGGCAGTCATTTGCTTTAGAAAAAACGAAGGCACCAACCGAACACACCATTCTAATTTTTGAAAGTGATCGTTAACTAAAAAAGAAGAAGAAATTAAGTGATAAAGGATGAAAGCTACAAAAATTTATATCCCTATAATTTGGGTATGAAGCTATCTGTGGGTCTGAAATTTAGACTACTGCATCAATGAATCATCTAATCCTCAACATAAAAAAGGGGATATAAGTATCGAACAAATTTTTTTCTTCTTCTGTTTCCAGAGCACAAGTTTAAAAAAAATAGACATCTAAATGATCAGAATACAGAGGAGAACACTTTTTTAATCCGCATTGAATCAGAATAAACAATTTCAAAAGACAGTATTAGCAACTATTATCCAGACACCTAGAAATTTAGGAAATACAAAAACCGCCTGTCGTATTTCTTTTCAGACAATCCTCTCCAACTCCCTAGCATAGCTAAGTGTCTGGTTGATAAGCTGCAGAGATGGTATTTCTTTGCACGGTGCAGATTCTTTTGCCTTTTGGAAAAAGACACTACCATTCTTAATCTCCCACTCAGGATGCTCCTGCAATAATAGATAATAATAAATTTAGAACTTGAGACAAATGAAATTATGCGAGAGGAGAGATGAATGCTTTTCAATGCCATAAACAAATAAGCAGGCTCCAGGTTGTACACATAATTAGAGCACAGAATTATAATTCTAAGTTGACGTTCAAATTCATGACACCTCTAATCAGGAGTTGTTGTACAATAGGGTTTGTGACGGAAGTGGCAACAGTGAGGCAAGGGGCAGTAGGGGTGGCAGTGGTAGGACAAGGAAGTGGCAATGGTGAAGATGGTAATGACAACAATAAAGATGGTAGTTAATGGCAGAAGTGATTGGTGGTGGCAATGGCAGCGCTGACAATGGAGGTGACGGTAGCAATGATGACAGCAAGAGTTGAAAAAACAGGGGGGGTGTAGATACACAATTTGAAGTGACGTTGGAATTGTGATTTAAAGATAGAGACGTGAGCAATTGTTAAAGTTTAGTTTTAGTTATATATTCATGGAAATATGCCTTTGAATTTACTCTAAGGTTCACAAAACATCGTTATTGCAAATATTAAGGTTCAATTCCAAGTCTCAATCTCATGTCCAATTTCACAAACTAAACAACCCCCCACCCGCCCACAACACAAATATTAAGGGGTCGTGACATTGCTCACCTCTTTAATGTATTCCAGGAGTTCCTGATCTGAGGAGAACAGCAACATTTGCTTAGCATCCTTAATTGAAAGATAGTCGTATGCCTTCTCACTGCAACCTGCTATTTCATCTCTGAATGTTTGAAGATAAACATAAACTAATTAGAAAATCACTATAGATGCACAAATGGAAAAATAATAGAATAACTAGAGAGGCAGGTGTTTGAACTTTAAGATTATAATGAAGGTTGTGCTTCCACCAAATTGACATTGCAGTAAGCAGAAAGAATAGAATTACAAGCACACAAATAACTCAAAATTTAATAATAAAATTTTAGAAACCAGTATGAAGAAGAAAATTCCCAAAAAGTCTAAACTATATGCCCAAATTCTGAAGAAATCAAGCACGAGTTGTAGTTTCCTCTAGTTTATCAGATGAGTCCAACCATCTGCTAGACTATTAAAAGGAAATAATAATAGTGGTTATTACCTGACAGTCTTTGCCAAAAGATCCATGAAATAAACGTATGTATCATGTGGCACTTTCTGTCGTGCACTCAAGACACGATTGTAAGCCCCTTCCATAAAAGATTGTTCCAATTCCACAGCATGCTTAATGCAAGGATTCTCTAGAGCAGCGGATGAAAGCAATTCCAACTCAGTATGGAATTCAGCAATCCTATTCTGCACAAGTAGTCTCAACAGATTGAGACCTAGTATTGGGTATTCCTGAGGAGAAGGTGGAAGACGATTACTGCAACAAAGGAAAAGTCCCCATAAATACAAGAACCCAACAAGGAAGAAAAGAAAATTGCACATAAACATCATATTTCAATATCAATACTATAGTTTCTTGACATACACTATACAGGTTTATGTTAAGTGAACCATCAGAAGATGTCCATTGTTTGCTTTGGTCGCAGATTCAGCTGTCTCAGAATAAAAATATATATATTCTATATATGTAGAAAAGGGGTAAGAAAAAGTTACCAGGCATCTGTATAATAAGGTTTCAACTGGAAGAAATCCCTTTCAAACGCATCTTGATCCTCAATTTTTACACTAAGGACAACAGCATGCTCGTATATATCCCCTGGAAGTGTAAAATCCAACAGGGAAAAATATTAGAACTTCTAACATTTTTTTCCTTTTCATTTTATAAGTAGTTATTATCTTATTCAGATTTTATGCCAATATGATTCAGTCATGCAAAAATGTTTTATTAATTTGTTTGATTTAATCAATTTGGCTTATCTTTCCATTGCCTCAAACAGAGCTAACATATTCAAAATTTAAAAGAAAAAATTATTATACTCTTTTCTCTATCTTCTAATACAGGGTAAACCATATTAAACATTTGTCATCCAGTAAAACAAAGGCAAACTTTTCTCCACAATTAGATACAAAAATTCTCTTACTAACAAAAAACAGGATTGTTTTGCTTCATTTGCCACTGTCTACAATGATAGCCAGTACAGAAGAGAAAAATCCATTTTCAATCACAAAGAGCTTATAGACAAGGCAATGCAAACAAGTTTCCTTTGGGATATCAAGCAAATTAAAGATTTACTAACAGGATCTGCTTCAATTACTTAAATAAGTAGGCTAAGCAATGGTTGTATGACTATAATCATGGAAGAGGGGGAGACATTGTAACTGATTAGAGTGAAGGATGTTTACTTGCTATTGTTAACTCGTGAACTGCATTAGGTGTATCTGCAAACAAGGGTGGAAGACTTCTGAACCCTGTCAGTAATACCTGCAAGTAAACAACAGCAACATTATAATTAAACAAATAACAACAGCTGCAAGTATGTACCCGAAAAGAAGGAAGCTAAGACCTTACAAACTTCCATCTTATATACACTATAAAATAAAATCGATCTATTAATTCAAGCTGTTTGTTGCAGTTTGATCCATAGGAATTACAATGATGACAAAAAAGTTCAAACCTACGACCCTATGCATACTACCCAACCCCCACCATTAGGCCTAAAAATAATAAGACATCGCACTCTCCAAGTAAAACCCCTTCTATCATTGATCTGGGGTGGGAAACTAGTAAATCAATCATCCAACTTCCTGCTGTAATATGTTCCTTTACAGTTTATATACAGTAAAGATATCTACCAACCACACTTGACCTCATCACTACACTGCCGAAATGAAATTAAACTAGTACCCATCAAAGGCAAGGATTTGGTTCCTTTAAAGACAAGGAACTGTACATTAGAAGATAAAGTGCAGTTCCAACAGTTGAGAATTGTGATAAAATCAACCGCACAAGTAACAAACTCTAAAGCTAGTTACAATATCAACCATTGTGATTATTACTATTATTAATTAATACACTTTATCCTCAATAGTACACATTGCTCACTTTAATAAGTCAAATCCAAAGGCAAAAACCTAGTTTCTCACTACCCAGCACTAATTTTTTTCCGAGGACTACTAGGCAAACTAGTTAAATCCAAAATAAAGTTGGTATCACTGTAATCTATCCAACCCAAAACGCCCCATTCCTCTAATGATCTCAAAGTGAAGCAACCTACCCCAACCCAGACTTAAAGCCAAATTCAAATTATCAAAAAAAAAAAGAAGTAAATAAAGCAACAGAATATCGATCTTGAAAGAGCAGCAACAAAGTGAACGAAATGCTAATTTTGGAATTTAGCATAATAAGTAAACTAGGGTTACGTTGGGTGGAAAATACCTTTAGCTGGGAGAGGAGATTGGAACAGATATCATAGTCGCTCCTGAGAAACGCAGACTTAAAGCGATCAAAGAGCTGCGAAACCTCTGTTAGCTTTGGATCCATGTCTTCTGAATTTTCTTGCGCTGTGTCCTTTCCTCTCAAATTCAATAATAGCTTGAGTGTTCCCAACAACAACCTCAATACAACGAAGGACGGGGCTCCCCTTTCACCATCCTAAACAATTATCTTTGGGCCTGGGCTTCACCAACTATACAGCCCAGCCCATATTTAATATAATAATCTTTATTTTTTTTTACTGAATAATAATCCTATATAACTATTATCAAAAGGTTTAAACTTTTTTTTTCTCTTAACCACGTGTAAATATTTTAAAATATATAAGTTATATTTTAAATTTAAAACAAATAATTAGAACATATTAATTTAAGATTGACATTTTGACTTTTTTTTACTCTTTCAATTAAATTTACATTTCAATCACAATTTTTACAAATAATAAAAAAATTCTCCCTCAATGATATATATATATATATATGATTACTTATTTATCTTTTTTAATTCATTATCTTTCGTTTAGAATATGAATATAGATATAGATATTATTTCATGTAAATCAATTTCTTTAAGATTTTTTGTGAAATTATGAATTATCTATTTTATCTTTAACATAAATTTGCATAAAAAAATATGTTCGATCTCAAGTAAAAAGAATAAAAACGAAGAGACTTAACATTTGCCGTGGTTGTGAATAATACTATTATCTTTCAGCTTTATCTGTAAGCCAAATTTAAATATTTTAAAAAAATAATTAAAAATATGGAATAGCATTATATTAATTTTAATTTTTAAAAGCAATATATAAATTGATGAAGCTCTAGGATTGGCCTTATACTGTGAGAGCGCTTTTGGATCAGCCATAACCCGCAAAGCGGTAACAAACGCTTATTGCTAACGCGACCTCCTCCTTCTGCATCAGAGACCCGCTGCGACTAGGGTTTCTTCTGCACACTCAACCAAATGGTACCTTCCCAATCCCATTCCCATACTCGTTAAAAAAATCAAAATTTTCGAGTCACTAGCTTCTTCTTAGCTTTGCGTTTTTCTATTATTCCAACCAAATTACTCAATGGAATCGCGCATGCAAAACTAGACTTTTGCAACTCTTCTGGGTTCTGCAAATTTCAACAATTATTAATCAATCAATTAATTAAGTAATTAATTTCTGTTTCAGGCTGATCCTGAGTTGGAAGCAATCAGACAGAGAAGGATGCAGGAGCTTATGGCTCGCCATGGCGTGGTTTGAGATCATTGCCTTTATTTTTTGGCCCTATAGAGCAATAATTGCTTCTAATAATGTTGTTATTTGCTGGTTTGCAGGGAAATCAACAGAACCCTGAACAACGTGAGGCTCAGGAAGATGCAAAGAGGTTAGTTTGTGAATATAGATTTGTTCTTCTATATTAAGCTAATTATTTTACTTCAGAGACTTGTTCATCTTTCCTTGCCCTTTGAGCAGAACTAATTATTGATATGAATGGAAAAACAATTAATTTAGGGAGGCAGAGGAACGGAGACAAATGATTCTTAGTCAGATATTGTCTGCTGAAGCACGGGAAAGAAGTAAGTTTATAGCATAATTTTGCCTTCTTAGTTTATAACGTAAGCGCGAGAATGACTCTTGTTTAATTTAGAACTTAGTCTGGTTAATGATTGATCAAAATTGACATGGATGTGGATTGTGATGTACTGTACTGCCGATAGAGGATAAAAGTGAATCTTTTGTGGTTTGCGGTAGTGACACATGTCGGGGTCATAGTTGTTTTTGTTAATATTAAATATTATGTGTATGGTGTTCTTAAACTTTTTTGTGTTTTGTATTTGTAGCATATTGGGTATGGCGAGATATTTTGACACATGCAAACTATGTGCATAGTAGATACACAATCATAAAACATAAATTTAAACTTTAGAATATATATAAGATACATTTACTAGATATTGTATATCCATTTCATTTTATTACTATATAATCTTGTTGTGACTAAAGTCTTGCTCCAAAGTATATACCAAAATGCACTTCATTGAAAGGAGATATTAGTACATAAACTTAAAAGAGTTTCAAACTCAAGAAAAAGTATCTTTGAAGTCTGATCTGGTATTGGTAGCATGATAAGTAGCAATTTCTTGTATTTTCTCTATCCCTCTACCTCCTGTTTTTCCCTTATGTGCACACTCATGTTCTACTTGGGTACCTTCTGAGGATGACATAGGATGATTTGCTATGGTGTGAGTTTTTTTTTTTTTTTTTTTTTTTTTTTTTTTC